CAGCACTTGGACTTCTCCACGCTCAATTACCCCTCAGATGAAATGCAGCCTCACATCAATGTGTTTGGTTCGCTCATGATAGGCTGAATTCTTCGACAGGTGTATTGCATTTTGACTATCACATTTAACAGTGATAACTCGACCTTGAAGTTTTAGCTCCTTTGCAAAACCTTCAAGCTACAATGTTTCCTTCACAACTTCAGTTATGGCAATATACTCTGATTCAGTGGTTGATAAGGCAACGAACTTCTGAAGTGTTGCTTTCCAACTGATTGTTGTCCCAAACATAATGAACACATATCCAGAGATAGATTTTTCTGGAATCCATACAACCTGCATAATCAGAGTCGACATATCCTTCGATTACTCCTTTACTATCTTCACCCAAGGCTCCACCATAAATTAGGACTCTATTCAGAGACCCATTTATGTACCTTAAAATCCACTTTAATGCTTGCCAGTGAGCCTTTCCAGGATTCGCCATGTACTTGCTTACAAGACTTACTGCATATGCTATGTCGGGTCTAGTACAAACCATAGCATACATCAAAGAACCTACTATGTTAGCATATTGAATGATATTCATATAAGTTCTTTCAACATCAGTGTTGGGACACTGATCTATACTCAGCTTAAATTGAGGGTTTGTCGGAGTCACAACAGGATTTAAATACGACATACCAAACTTTTCGAGAATCTTTTGTAGGTATGCCTCTTGAGATAAGCATAATTTCGACTGCTTTCTATCTCTCCAGATGTCAATCCCAAGAATCCTGGACGTAGCTCCCAGATCCTTCATGTCGAACTCTTTATTGAGTTCATCCTTCACCCTCATTACCTCTCTGACATTGTTGCTTGCTATTAGAATATCATCCATATAGAGCAACAAAATAACAAATGAATTACCCGGTCGAAATCTGAAGTAAACACAATGGTCGAACTGGCTTCTGATGAAACTTTTGTGTGCCATGAACTTGTCGAATCTCTTATTCCACTGCCGAGGAGATTGTTTCAGTCCATATAAAGATCTATTCAGTTTGCACACATAATCTTCCTTCCCCCTTTCGACATACCCTTCAGGTTGCCTCATCAGGACTGTTTCATCTAGATCACCATACAAGAACGTAGTCTTCACATCCATCTGTTCTAGTTCAAGGTCGAACTAGGCCACCATGGCAAGCAACATTCGAATGGATTTGTGCTTCACAACAGGAGAGAACACATCATTGAAGTCGATACCTTCTTTCTGAGTGAATCCCCTAGCAACCAATCTTGCCTTGTATCTCTTCGACGTCACTCCTTCGATTCCTTCCTTAACTTTGAAAATCCATTTACAGCTGACTAACCTGGCTTCAACAGGTTTCTTGATCAGTTCCCAGGTGTTGTTATCATGAAGAGATTTCATCTCATCATCCATGGCCTTCAGCCATTCAGTCTTCTTTTGAATCCTCATAACTTCCTTATAGTCTCTAGGTTCTTCATCTAGAACCTCACTAGCAGAGATTAAGGCATAAGCTATAAGATCTGCATACCCAAGTCTCTGAGGTGGCTTGATGACTCTCCTTGACCTGTCTCTTGCTAGCAGGTAGTCATTATCAATCTCCTCATCTTCGACAACATCTTCTGTGTCTTCTTTGACTTCATCCGGGGTAAGTAATTAAGCATCAACATGTTCCACCTCAACAGGAATCTCTCCCTGTTCTAGCTCTTCGTCAGCATCATCAGTTTTGTTGAAAGCCATCTCTGATTCATTGAAAACTACATCTCAACTGGTGATACACCTCCTGTGACCTGGCTCTAGGCACCATAACCTATAAGCTTTGACTCCTTCAGGGTATCCCATGAACATGCACTTCAGAGCTCTAGGTTCGACCTTGTCTTGCCTAATATGAGCATAGGTCACACAGCCAAATACTCTCAGTCTGTCGAGACTAGGTGGATGTCCCAACCAAACTTCTTCATGTGTCTTCATTCCCAAGGCAGTTGAGGGACATCTATTTATCAGGTAAGCTGCTGTCGAAACAGCTTTCGCCCAAAACACCTTCTTCAATCCAGCACTAACCAACATACATTTGACCCTTTCAAGGATTGTTCGATTGGATCTCTCAGCTAAGCCATTTTGTTGAGGAGTACCTGCTACAGTCTTATTCCTTGCAATCCCAAACTCAACACAGTAACTGTTGAATGCTTCGTTGCAGAATTCAAGGCCATTGTCGGTTCTCAACCTCTTAACCTTTCTGCCAATTTGAGTTTTGACCAGAATCTTCTAACTTTTGAAATTCTCAAAAGTTTCATCCTTCGTCTTCTGAATGAATACCCATAACTTTCTGGAATAGTCATCAATGATGGATAGAAAATACCTTGCACCTGAGTGTGAAGGATTCCTTGCAGGCCCCTAAAGATCAGCATGAATGTAATCCAAGGATCCATGTGTTCTTTGTTTGCCTTTGTTAAACTTCGCCTACAGGATTTACCAAATACACAAGATTCACAAAATTCCAACTTTTCGACTTTGTCACCTCCTAGCAGGTTCTGCTTCCCCAATTCGACCAAGCCTCTTTCGCTGACATGACCAAATCTCATGTGCCATAATTCTGTCTTCGACATATGTTTCATGGATGCAACATTTGCCGAACCACTTACAACCTCAGCCTCAAGGGTATACAAGCCTTGTTTCTTCACGCCTCTCAAGACTTCCTTCGACCCGTTCATGACTCTTAGGATATTTTTCTCTCCTTGAAAAACCTATCCTTTTCTGTCGAATTCACCAAGGGAAATCAAATTTCTCTTCAAGTCAGGTACGTACCTGACTTTAATCAATAACCTTATTGACTCATCATAGAGCTTGAATCTCACAGATCTAATACCTGCAATTTTGCAAGATTTGTTGTTTCCCAGCAGCACAAATCCACCATCTTGATCACATAGCTCCTCAAACAATTCTCTGTTTGGAGTCTTGTGCCAAGTGCAACCTGAATCCATAATCCACTCTTTCCTCGAGTCGCCACTTGAAACCACAAGAACATCAGATGAATCGAAGTCATCTTGAACAATGGCTGCATTGCCATTACCTCCATGATCTTTCAGGCGTTCAGGGCACACCTTTCTCATGTGACCCTCCTTCTTACAGTGATAACATCGAATACTAGATGTTTCGCCACTATAAGACTTCTGTTGACTTTTACCTTTCTTCTTGTCGAACTTACCATCCTTTCGTAAGAATTTTCCCTTAACGGTCAAACCTTCGCCCACTGCCGAAGGTTTATACTCCTTTCGTTCGTTCAAGTTCTTAGAGTACAAGCTGATTGAACTTCTTCAAAGGTCAGGGACTCCCTTCCATACAAGAGAGTTTCTTTGAAGTGAGCATGTGATCTGAGCAAAGCACACAACAACAACAATGCTTGATCTTCATCGTCGATCTTCACATCAATATTTTCAAGATCAAGAATCAACTTGTTGAACATATCCAACTGCTCAGTCAACACTTTTTCTTCACTCATCTTGAATGAATATAAAGCTTGCTTCAGGTAGAGTCGATTCATCAGAGATTTGGTCATGTGCAAACTTTCAAGTTTCACCCATAATCCCGATGTTGTAGTCTCCTTTGATACATGTCGAAGAATCTTATCACCAAGGCTCAACAATATTGCGCTGTGGGTTTTCTCGATCATGCCCGTCTTTTCTTTTGTCGTTAACGCAGCGTCCATGGTTGCCTCACCCTTCAACGCTTCTAAACAACCCTGCTGAACCAATAGGGCTTTCATCTTCAAGCGCCACAGACCGAAGTCGTTCACTCCGACGAACTTTTCAATCTCATACTTTGTTGAAGGAAACTTTTCCACGCTCACAGCACCAATTTGTTGTGAATCGGATACCTAAACTAAGTATAAACAGTTTCTTAATAATCAAGAAACACACAAGGGTTAGGGTTAATAAAGAAGAAAACAATAAGGATTGGTTATTAAACTGCTATTCTTTCTTTTCTCTTAGAACAAGATTACAAGTATACAAGAATAACAAAATAACCTCTCTATCTTGAAATTAGGATTTTATCTTCCTATTTTTCCTTATGCCAAGATTGAGAAACTAGCATCCTATTTATAATAAAATAGCACACTAACCTAATGGTCTTTTTAACAATTACCTATTACAAGCTAACTTAGGGTACAAGCTAACTTAAACAATTGGGCTTACAAGCAAGACCCAATTCAACATGCTAACAACCCAAGCAATATTGACTAATGCATGTTAGAACATACTTCGACTACAACATGCATTACTCGCGAACAGACTTCGACCATACTAGAGTTCGATCCGACATCTCACATGAATATTAAAAAAAAAAATTAATAGTTTTTTTTAAGATCTTTTTTTATCTCTAATTATTTGATTCCTCTTCGTCTTCGTCTGATCTACTATTCTCTAAACTATTATTTTTATAAAAGAATTTACAAACCTTTTTCTCTACCTTTTCAAACCCTATGTTTAATTTTCACCATCTTTTCTACTTCTCCAAAATATTTTTGTTTTAAAGATGTAAACCATTTCATATTTAAATCCAAGAAATGCCCTAAAGTGTTTTCCATTTTCATTTTTATAAAATACACTTAAGTTTATTTTTCCAAATATTATACACTAAACACACAAGAGTAATTGAAAAGTCAAATCTTTCTTGACAAAAGACTTAAAGCATAAGTAATCAAATTAACATAGAAAACCATACATAACATGAGTTTCCAAATATTTTTGTTCCACTCAAGATTGTGACAAGACACATTATTGAAACCCTAGAAAATTCATACCAACAACAAGAAAATGAAATGACTAAGTCTTATGACAAGTAAATAAAATCAGCACCAAAACATGCAAGTTTCTGAAAATCCCATGTCCTAGTTTCCTTTATTCTTAAATCTAAAAACTCTTATTCTAAGTTTTGTATTACAACAAACATGATGATGGCTACAACAGGACCAGTTTCTCTTCTGCACACCAAATATAGATCATGCAAATACTTCAAATGGATCTTCTGCTACACACTCGGTTACGGCGGCTCGAGGAATCGGCTTCTGCAGTAACGCTGCCCCATTAAACATCATCAAGCGGTACAAACTCGTATAGAAGTTCATCTGCAACGAGAACGATAACTTGTTTAACAAGTAATAATGATAACCAATGATGCTTCATAGCAAATTTCAAAATTGTACTCACCTCATCTTGGTCTAGCGCCATAAACCCGAATTTCCCAGTCCATAAGGACTCAGCTTCATGAGCAGCCGGTATGAATAACCGTTTGACTTTTAACTCTCCAAGCAAGCCCTCGATGCAGGCAAGCAGGGCTTGGAAGTAACCCTTAAAGAAAACAAGAACGTTTTCAGTATCAAAATATTTCAAATAATCACTCGAATTTAAAATCACAAGGGAGAGTAAGTAATTAACCTTTCCTTGGCTAGCTGCATTAGTTGCAACTAAGGGAAGCTCCGCCACTTCTCTCCCGAACAAGCGGAATACCCCCGTGCATACAACCTCTTGGCTGTAATAGCATAAAATACAAACCAAAATCAAGTATTTTTCAAACTAAACATTGAATTAATTAGCAACAAAAGATGCTTAAAACCCGGCCTTACTTGACAGTGAGCAGTGCACAGTACATTCCACCAAAATATTGATCCTTGATGCTCCTCCTATGGAAATCCAATCGAAGAAAATTCCATTCACATGTTCAGAAATGTCAGTAGAGGAAATCAAAGTACAAAAAGAAGTAAATGCTGCTTACCCATAAATCATTGATGGAATGAAATCGTCGCCTGTATCAGCATCCACTATGGGATCAAATTGTTCCTGGACATCACAGATGTCAGTCGTTAACAAAATCGCGCAATCCAACGGATCAAATTTATCTAAACTATAACTATATATACTCACATGAAAGATAGCAACAGCCTTTGAAAGCAACGGCCTAATTTCTTCGGAAGCAAGCAACTTCCAGTTCAGAATCCTCCATTTTACATCAAGACCAGAATTAGTTTCTAAACCTTTTCCCTCACGCTTCTTTTTAATCAAGCTTAGGAGGGTATCTGAAATTGGCAGGTCCCCGCGAATCACTAAATTGTGCAAGAATGTACGAATTTGAAGACAATTCCAGCCGCAGAACCAGTCCTCTTCAGGTAATTTCTGGTTAAAAAAACTCTTATTAACAATTGTATATAGTAATGAAAAAAAAAAACTGAAATCAGAATAAAAAGAGAACATTTGGTACCTCTAGGTTAACTATCTTATGCTCTTTCAAACATCCTATGTGAAATTCCTTATTACACTGCAATGACATATCAATCAGTAATTTAATCAAAACACATAGTGATGTAAGAATTAAAACAATGATTCGCGCGAAGCAATACCTGGTCGCAAATGATTACTGTCCGAGGACCAAAGCCTTTTTGTTCGAAATCATCTTCCCTAAAACGTCGAACACACGTTGAGGAAAGTTGAAGAATTTCTTTAAAATTGATCAAGAACACAACATCAATACCAAAAAAGATGAAAAAAGTTCTGGACATCGGAATTACCTGCACAGTAAACATCCACCTTCTACAGCCTCGGTATCATTAACAGTAAGGGGGGCTCTCGGGGCTATCTGTTCCAAAGGTTCAATATCTGCAACCCTCACAGTTTCCTGAGCATTTGCATTTGCATTTGCGTTACGCTCTTCACGTCTTTCGCTATGGTATACATGATGACAACAGTATTTGCAGTACCAAATGCGACGCGGTTCAGATTCAAGAGGCACGCATTCTGCAACAGAAAATAAAGTTATAAATTATTATTCTAGAGCTCTTGTCCAAATAACAACATAAAATAGGCAAAACTTCACCTAAGTGAAAAGCTCTTGGGCATCCATCACAGCATAAAAGATGTCCTCCTTGTTCGCAAATACTGCAGCGACCATCGCTATCGGCACTCAAAGAAATTTTCTGCTTTTTCAACAGAGAAATGGACAACTCATGCAGTGAGACTCCATCAGCGAATATGTGCAGGTAACTGCAACAAAGAAAACAGTGGTTGATTCCAAAAACACCCTACTAAAACACTTGTCTGAACTTTCCTACATGTTTCGTACAGTGTACGAGTGTCTGACAGTAACGCGTAGTAACCAACATCTATTAGTACAAGTTAAAAGAAAAACTCACGGCTTGCGTCGGGATGCCCAGCCAGCATGTGCTTCAAATGTAGAAGGGCTAACCTGCTCATCATCACAAAATTTATTCAGATGTCCAATGTTTACTTGAAGCCAATAAACGAAGACGGGATAACATTTACGACATGATAAAAAAATATACCGTTTTGTTACAGCAACTACACAAAATTCCAGAGCTCTCTGTGTTTATTTTACCCTCCAATAGTGACTGCCAACACAACAAGAACATATTTAGGAAAGTTAAGAGTGAAAAAAAAAAATGTAACGTAAGAACTAAGAACAAGTCATTGTCAAAGCAACCTCTCCTCGAGCAATGTATGTCACATGAGCTCCATTTGCCAATGCTTGAAAGACAAACTTATGCAGATGCTGATCCCTTTGAAAATTTAAAAACATAATAAAGAAAAGTTACATCAACGAGAAGACAATAACATGACATGTAAATAAATGAACAAGAAAATACTTTAAACTGATGTTAATGTTTCAAATACGAAAAACAAAAACACACTCACTTTCTAGTTATTTTTCCATGACGCTTATCACTAGCTGCGCTGTGCTTCATTCCTTTGTACAATGGCTTTTGAGGTGCAGCTGGTTCTGGATCACTGAAATAATCAAACCGTGAATTGAATTAACCATCTGTTCAACTGAATTAACTACATTTTTACACGTGATTAACTAGATGTCATGCATGTATACAAAAAAGACGTCTACAAACAAAATACCTCGGAGTAAGCGGTGATGGTGGTGGTGGTGAAACACAGCTATTAATAGCCTCGATTGTACGAGTTGGACTAGGTTGAGGTTTCTTCAAAGCCTCGCATGAAATGCAGAACAGTCTTGAGACAACGTCAAGATCTTGAAAAATAAACAATATATTTCAAAATCACTAAACTTTCTGCAAAAACCATGCAAACACAACAAAAAAAATGGCGGGAAAATATACATGAGTTACATTACAAACCTCTACAGTTCAAACAGAACTTTGATTGGTTCATAGTAAAGTCTCCAAGAACTGCTTTAACAGAATCCTCCATTGTGTCTAAAGAACTGCTCAAAAATGCATTCATCACCGAACGAACTGAATTCCCATTCTCAAGGAAAGTATACTCTGGGGGACGTTTGTTCGCGCTTCCAGCATGAACCTCAAATATAGCAGGGCTCACAACCTACTCTCACCAAAACAATTCAAACATGTAAAAAATTACTATGACATGCGATTTTAAAAGCAGCATTGCTAATGTATCTTCATTCACTTACCTTTTCTCCCTTACAAATATCACAATAACACTCAATTCCACCGTCTTTAATCACTCCCGGTGAATCTTTTTCCCCAGGTTTCCGCACCTACAAAAAATACACACAGATTCACACCTCCAAAATCAATAACGAAACATAACCGAAGTTCACATTAGCTCAAAAACCCGCTTTAACTCCGCATGCATGGTTCAAGATGAACCCGTGTGATAGCTAAAAATTATTTTTTAAATTATTTATTTTATTTAATATTTGAAATTTATTTTTCATACTTGTCATCTCTTAGTAAGAAATTCTCTTCAAATTTTTACTTACATAAACTATTTTTTTAAATAAAAACACCTCAATTAAATTTATAATTATAAAATTAAAAACTGTTTTCTCTCTTCTATCCTATCCAAATAATTATGTACAAGTAATATATAAATAACACCCTTGAAAAATATACTATTACTATAAAAATTTTCTTCAAACAATAATTTTCTTCACCAAATTTCAAGTTGTTAAAAGTTGACAAAATTTATGTTGAAATAAGTTTTCATTTTCCATAAAGAGATTAATAGTTATTCACAATTAATAATGTAAACTTTTTATATATACGCGTCCAATCAAATCACTTTAAAGTGACATTTAAAAAAGTTTATTCTCAAAATATTTTCAAAACATGCGTAAATTTTTTTACAATATCACTGTAACTACATATTCACAATCTCATTTAACTTAATTTTACCATGAGTATCAAAAATATTTATGGAAAATATTTGGAGATCATTGATTGAAGAAATATTTTCTACATCAGTTAAAAATGAAAAAAGTTGTATATTTATAAGATGAAAAACTTATTTAACATTTATAGGAAAAAAATATTTTTTTCAATATATATATATATATATATATATATATATATATATATATATATATATATATATATATATATATATATATATATATATATATATATATATATATATATATATATATATATATATATATATATATATATATACGTCTCCGAGTCACCCGATCCATTAGGAGAAACCCGATCCATTCGAAATGAGAACTCAAATTTAAATCCCAAATGAAGAATCGGATCCATGCGGAGAAACCCGATCCATGCGGAGAAACACATTCCAATCCCAATGAAAACCTAGATCCATGCGGCGAAAAACCCTAATCCATGCGGAGAAACTCTATCCTTCCATGCGGGATGAAAACACGTTTTCAATCCCAATGAAGAACGAGATCCATGCGGAGAAACTCTATCCTTCCATGCGGGATGAAAACACATTTTCAATCCCGATGAAGAACGAGATCCATGCGGAGAAACCCTATCATCCCATGCGGGATGAAAACACAATTTCCAATCCCGATTAAGAACGAGATCCATGCGGAGAAACCCTATCCATGCGGGATAGGAACACAAATTCCAATCCCTATGAAAATGGATGTGGATTATTTTTAGGGGTGGCTAAATCCACCCATTGCCATGTCTCCATGGCTATAACTGAGAGAAACAAAATTCAACAAGTTAATAAGACATTACCCTGATGCCGCGGACATATTTCACGTTCAATCCATCCAGAACCCTTGAGCTTAGCAGGTCCTTCAGCTTGGAGGGAAACTTCTTGAAGTTGGAATAAACACGTTTGAACTTTTTCCCTTTAGTTGACACCTTTAGTCTGCGATCTCTACTGCTCTCCGCATCCTCTACTTCACTTCTTGCATCTTCTTCACTCGAAACACCATTCAGATCAGCAGCACCGATATTTTCCACACTAGTTCTTGTCCTCTTAGGTTCAGGAACATGAACCACATTCCGGTTCTTTCTTGGCCGGGTTCGGCTGAGAGATGTCGAACCACCACAGATCTCTGAGTGAGTCTTACAGGCGTTGCGATACTCTCTCCAAAAACCCGGACGGACCTTAGACACATCAACACACTTCTTAGAATCAGAGCTTTTTGCCATTGACACGCGAGAAATGGTTCAATCAATGAAAAATGAGGGATTTCAAAAGCTGAGTAGCTCAGAAATTATTTTGTGACAAAGTTCATGCACTGTTACAAAATAATTAGGGTTTGAGAAGAAATTGGTAGGACTGAGAACTGAGTTGAACAAAAGACTTGAAGTGAATGGGACAGAGTTTGATGTTAAGACAGGTTACTTTGAAGAAGGAGAAGAGGTTCCTTCTATTGAATAACAAAACTGACCAAACTATTACAAATATTTTTTTTGTTTGTATATTTCTTGACAAGAATCACAAGTATATATAGAGGTCCAAAATATATAAAATATTTATAAAAGTAATAAAGGTGTGATTGTTTAATCTATAAGAAAACTTTAATACATTTACTTTATTTAATAATAATTTTTTTATAATTTTTTTTTTATTATTCTGAAACAATTTTCTTCATTTTGTTGGTGAAAATTCCCATAGCCCTAAAGTTTGGTTAGGTACATATCTATCATCTATTCAAGGAATGCCATGTTTTTTTTTAATAATTTATTTTAAATAATTAAAATTTAAATAAAAACTTTAGGTTCTGTTTGGCGATATATTTTGAACTTGTATCTTATAGTTTATATGATAATAAACAATCTATTTAGTAACGTTTTTTTTATCACGGACACTTATTTTACTAATTTATAATTTATTTTTAAACGCTATTTTAAATAGTGGTTTAACTTATAATTTTTTTTCTTCATTTTTATCTTTATTATTTTAACTAAAACACACCTTTATTCTTTATAATTTATTTTAATTTAAAATAAATCAATCATGTATTAAATACAAAGAATATCAAATAAATATGTCATTTTACATTTGTTCGCTAGTAGAATCACTAATTTTATCAAACACTTTAATTAAATTATCAACTATGAATCATCCGTCATTAAGAAATAAATTATAAACTATCCATCATCAGTCATAAGTTATATGTTTGTTTATTTTACTATCGAATTACTTATCTTCTAGATAAATACTTTTTATTTTAAAGTTTTATGATTACAATACGATAAACATGACCGAATAAATATTTATATTTAATTATCAATCTTATCCTCTAATTATATCTCGGTCAAACTTGTATATTGTTGGAAGGACTTAAATAGAATTAAATAAATAAAATTAAAAAAGAACACATTATTCTCTGCATTTTTTGTTAATTGACAGACATGCATTGTCTGTGTCTGCAATTCTTTGTAAACGTTTTTATTGATTTCTATTTTTATAATTTATTTAATTTAACAATATTTAATACGTAATTTTTTAATATTTTTTTGTGTTTTTGTGATTTAATTTAAATATTTTTTTATCGTAAAAGTATTACCCCAATGACCATTAAGGTTATATTAGTGTTACTAGAATAATGACGTTAACGAATAGGGTTACTCAAAGATTAAATCGTTAATAGCTACTTTAAAACAGTCATGAGTAAAGAATCTGAGGGTTACTCAAAGATTAAATCGTTAATAGCTACCTTAAATTGGTTAGCTATGCAAGAATGATTGACCTAAGGTGGTATGCAAAAGATTAAAGAATTTGAGGGTAAAATTTGGGGTATGACAAGTTTATTGGTTATGGTACAAGGACTGTGATCTTGGTATTTTCTCACTTATGAGCATGAAAATGTTCATGTGATTCATGTGACGTTGTGATGTCATACTAGATGTCTTGGCATCTTGGTGTGTTGATCCTTTAGCTTAGTAAGTTCTGCTTGTGAGTTTGAATTGTTAAGGCTATTGAATTATCTCAACTATGTTCATGATTCTTAGGAGAGACCTGAGAAATAGGATTGGATATTATTTGAGGGAATTTATTTTTCTCTGTAGATTTGGATAAGGTTCATGGGAGCTTTAGTTGATAAATAGGAGATGTCACACATAATGTCTTGACATCATGGTCAGGTTTTCTAAATTCTGGATGAAAGGAGTATGCTTGGAGTTCATTGGAAGACACTGTGACTATGCTTCAAAGTTTACAAGAGAGAGTAGACAAGGTCTAACTGGGTATCAGGACATTGTTTAAGACTCGTTTTTGTTTACAAGTGGCTATATGTGGAAGGTGTTCCTTGGACGGTGGAAAACGTACCTTAAAGAGGGTGTGCAAAACATGTTTCTTCAGTACATGCATATTCTTTGGACGATTTTCAGTAAAAAAGAAACAATCAAAACTGAGTTGGATGGTGCACATTCATTTTTGCTGAAGTTATCTTCCTCAATTTACGTTTTCATTGAATTGATCTTCGGTTATATCTATGGCTCATTAGTTCATAAGGAAACTGCTCGGGTATTTAAAGGGGGTCTTTGCTTCTTTTGTCTCTGGTTGTGTTTTTACTATGTCGTAATTTTATGGCATTTGTCCTGGTTTGGGTGAGTACTGTTTGGGTATGGACTTGTGTTGGATACTTTGTCAATTTTTGGCTAAAAATAGGGAGATAGGTTGTGTGTCTATCTCAGTTGTGTGTTGTTCCTTGTAACACATGACTGATCTTCATTTGTGTCTTGAGTCTATTCTTGCATTTTTTTTTGCAAGGATGTTGGATATGATGTTCTAACATCCTGTCTGTGTCTCAGTTCTTTTTGTTCTGAGTCTTCTTTTTGTGTCTTGTGTTCTGAGTTATCCGGAGTTGGGGTTTGGTCCACTGAGCCTTGATTTGGATAATGAAGGATGATAAATTGAAACTGGTTTTGAGGGGGAGTGTCTTGTATCTTCCTCCTCATGTACACCAGAGCAAAGGGTACACGTCATACAACAGGTGGTGTGTGTTGTGTAAATAATCTAAAAAGCTATACAGGAAGAATGAAAAGCTTCTAGGAGTCACATTATTTTCTGCTAAACTCGTCATAGGCCGACTGAAATGACTTCAGGGCCTTCTACTCTTTCTACTCCTTGATTTCCTAGGTTTATTGTACAAAAGGAGTTTTAGCCAAAATTTGTCAAAAGGGGGAGATTGAAGGCTCTAAGATTTGGCTAAATTTTGGTAAAACATGATGTTGAACAAGATGTTCTATCATGAAGAAATCTGTAAAGAACAACATGTTGGACAAGAGTCCTATCTTGAGGACTCGACATCTTGGTCTGATACAACAGGTCTATTGCAGACCTGTTCCAAGATTTAAGGCACAATCAGAACATGAATCAAGGAATGATTGGACAGAGACTTTGAAGCCCATGGTCAGTTGAATATTATAAAGGAAGACCAAGATCTATGGCAAATCACTAGTCTTTGTTAAGACTTTTGTAAAGCAAAAATAAGGATTTAGGATTTTGAGAGTCATGTGTTTTTCATGTATTGTAAGTCACCCTTTGTATCGATTTGATACATTGTAGTAGACATAGTTTTTCATATTTAGAAACTTGTAGGTAATGAATTGTATATTGTTCTTGGATGAAGCTTTTAAGAAAATTCAAGTATTAGTGTTAGTCAAGAGTATTGACTGAATATTATGTTGAAAGGATTGTCTTTCAATTGAACAACTTGATACAATCATCGGAGGTTGTGACTGTTAGATATCACTGAGGTGATTTAGGAATTGAGATTGGTTTCTCTTATCTAGATGGGTTTCTAGGTAGAAGTTGCACTGAGTATGGAATTAAGTGATAAGTTACCAGAGGTTGTATACTTAGAATTAATACTACTGATAGTGAATTCATTCCTGACTTGGTAGCCTCTAGATGTAGGTGTTGTTGTACACCGAACTAGGTCATCATATCTTGGTGTTATTTATCATTCTGCTATGCATAATTCAGTCTATTCTTATGCTCTAAAATATATGTATTTAATAGATGTTGAAACATTTTTCATGACATTGTTATGACTTTGAGATATCAGAATGTTCTTGTTTTGTATTTGTTTAGTAAAACAGAAATCAATGTCTCAACATTTCTTAGGACATCTGAGCTCTACATACCAGAATTTCAATCTAGATTTGTGTAATGGTTTGTAATGTAATATGAACCTTGATAACTTTGTAATGAAAAATGGATTTGTATGATATGAATTGTATATGTATGCGTTTCTTTCCAAATCTCAAAATTGAATTTGAACATTTCATGAATCTTGGATGTTGAATTAACTTGAATCTTGGTTGACTTAATCATGAATCTTGAGTCCCTTAAGCTGCAATGCCTTAAATCAAAGTAACAAACTAGACAGACAAGCCATATAGAGCACTCAACGGATAATTGGTCCATAAAATTACAACTTCCCCTAGTAAACTTGTAATGCCTCACAAGTATTGTAGGTCACAATTAGAATTTCGACAGAATTTGATTGAAGGAACGAGCATCTCAAGCCAATATAACCTATTCCTCTTTGATTCCTTAATATGACATAGGAGATCCCTATGGGGCTTGCAAAGGCACTTGTCAAAATTAAATATTTGTGATATAAATAAGAGCCTTTGCATCAATGATGTTTATTTAAGAAAGCAATTGTGAAGGAATGTATTATAGTGGATGCATATGAATGTAAAACTAAGCCAGATAAAACTGAAAGGGTTGGGAACATTTTGGAGTATGACACGTATGCCAAGATCTTATGTGTGACTTCTATGGTGGTGGTTGTCGCAACTGCGAAAAAGGAGGCCGGCAATGACAGAAGAGTCGTCACCGTTTGTTATTTATCCCAAAAGAGGGAAAGGAAACAATCAGAGAAAACCTAGCAAAAAAGGGGAAAAGACGAGGTCATCGCAACCAAGTTCTAGGTTCGGGAGTCGGTTATACAAGGGGAAGGTATTAGCACCCCTCACGTCCGTCGTACTCGACGGAATTAATGATTGTTTATCTCTCTAAAAGGGTGATCATCTATGTAACACCATATTCTAACCCACTGGATAAATAAGAAAAACGACAATCAGAGTGCACACAAAACAGATATCATGACGGTCGTAAGGAACTGTGACGACCGTGGGGGTCATGACGACTGTCATGGATGTCACGACCGTGACAGTCATGATGAGCA